CAAAAAAAAAAAAAAAACCCAGGACAAATACTTATCTGTGGCTGACGATTATAACATCATCATATGCTTATCTTGTGCCATGCACTTGAAAACAATGTACCCTACTGTATCCTTATGAAACTGTTACTCATGCTTAAGAAATTCCCAAATGACCTTGTCTCCTTCCCAGAAATAAATGCTAAGATGCTGATTGGCCTAGCCCATGCCAATCAACAAAACAGTTTGCCCCTTAAGAATGGACATATCTCTTACCTGGCATCCAAGTGGGATGCCCCTATCTTTTAGCACCACTCTGCTGCTAGGATGGCAGTTCTGCTTTCTCTGCACTTGCCACACTTTAAATAAGCTTTTGCTTTGTACTATATCAATCTTGACACTCCCATTTTCTGCTAAGAGTCCAATTCTTTGTTCTTCGCTGGAGGGCAAGGACCCCAATAAAGGTGGAAGGTCATTATGGGGGGGCTCTTAGCCCCTCTCTCAGTTATTTTACTTATTTACCTATTTATTTACTTATTTAGGTGTTTTTCTTTCTTTCGAGTCAGGGTCTCACTATATAGTTCAGGCTGGCCTTGAACTCATGGCGATCCAGCCTCAGTCCCCCAAGTGCTGAGAGATAGGCATGCAACACCATGCCTGGCTAGCCATAGTTATTTTAAATACTCTGTAGGGCTAAGGCTATGCTCAGTGGTGGTAGAGCACTTACCTAGCCTGCTTAAACTGAGCTCCAGTACCCCCAAAGAAGAATATAAATAATTTGTCTGAAAATTCTAAAAACGAATCCTATTTGAGTCTGGTTCTAATGGTTGTATTCTCTCTCTCTCTCTTTTTTTTTGGTACCAGAGTTCAAACTCAGAACCTTGTGCTTGCAAGGCAGATGCAGTGCCACTGAGCTAAATCCCCAGCCCTCGCTCTCTTTTTTCAGACAGTCTTGTTATGTAGTTCAGGCTGGCTTTGAACTTGAGGTGACCCCTCCTGACTAAGCCTCCCAAGTGCTGGGATCACAGGAAGCTGAGTTCTCTTTCCATACAATGCTTTTTCTTGCCTTTTAGCATGCCTTGTATTTTTTTGTTGAAAGCCAGATATAAATGTATCAGGTAATACGAACTGAGATAAACAGGCCTTTCATGTTAGATTTGATGCTAATCTGGCTGGGAATTGGGTTCTGTTTAATGTTCTCTGTAGGTGTAGCTAAAAGTGCCAGTGGCTTTACATTTTTGTAGCACACACTAATGTCTGTTTGTTTGTTTTTGAGACAGGATCCTGGGTTTAAGACTGGCCATGAACTTGTTTGGTAGCCTATGCTGGCCTTGAATTAAAAATCCTCCTGCCTCAGCTTCCCAAATGCTGGGGTAATAGGCCTAAACTGCCAGGCCTGGCTTCCTGTAGTATTCTTACACAACTGTGCCTTGTAGCTCTTTTGCAGTAATTACCTGCCATTATATTGCAGACCTGTTGGGGTAGTGCTAAGGTAGTTGGAGAGGGGAAGGATTCTATAATCATATGATTAAATTTTAGTCTATTAGTGGGTCTGAGTTTCTGGGATACAATCTTCCCAAGTGAAAGGACACTGATTTTCACTTATCCTTCTTTTAAGTACAGGGACAATTTCCAAGTCTTTTATATGTCAGAACTGAAGCTGGAAGTCTTCTCTAAAGGCTTCCTCTAACACTGCTTCAGTGGGTGAGCAGAAGGACTTACCACCTCATCACTGCCAGGCAGGAGTTAAATCCAGGTTTTCATGGAGTTGCTACTATGTGTGTGTTCGTGGTGTGTGTGGAGGGGGGCGGTCAGTGGGAGTTTAGATTCCCCAGGATGCCTTCGCTGATACCCTACTGGCTTCGGAGTGTGACAATCACTATGAATAAGAAGGTCTTGTTTTTGGTTTTTACAGTCTTTTTTTTTTTTTGGTACTGGGGATCGAACTCAGGTCCTTGTACTTGTGAGGCAGGTGCTGGAACCACTGAGCTAAATCCCTGGCCTTGGTTTTTACAGTTTTAGGAATTGAAAACAGGGCTATTGTGCTGAACTAAATTCCAACTTCTTTTTGAGACTGGTCTTACTAGGATGGAGGCGGCCTGTTAATGCTCAGTAGTGGTGTAGGTCTCTTGTGATACTGCATCCAAGGAGAGGCCCTTGTTACTGTGGATGTGATGATGGCCAGGCTCCCCACTCAGCCTCCTCTGATACCATCCTGAGAAGAGTGAGGGAGGGTATACCTCAACTTCAGTCTGGCAAGCATGGATGTCTAGGCTCTTCATTCACCCATGGGCAGGGCAAGAGCAGGAAGCAGGTTTTCTGTGGGGTTTCCACACAGAAATTATCTAAAAGCTTTCTGTCCATTTTTTTTTTTTTGAGACAGGATCTTGCTATGTAGCCCCCAGCTGCCCTTGAACTCACAGTGATCTATCTTTCTGCCTCAGCCTCCTAAATCCTGGGATTATAGGTGTGTGCCACCATATCTAGCAAAGTTTTCTGTCTTTCTTGGGCCTCTGAATAACTCAATATTCTCCAGTATCCAGTTTGGATACAAGGGAAGAGGAAAGCCCAGAGAACTCATGCCTATCTTCTTTATTTGGTCCTGACCAGTCTGCTTCCTACTCTCCACCTTCCAGAGTCTTTGCGGGGGTACCGGGGATTGAACTCGGGACCTTGCACTTATGAGGCAGGCGGCAGCACCACTGAGTTAAATCCCTGGCCCTGCTTATATTTGTTTTATATGAAATGTGCAGTTTTTTGAAAACATGTGCAGTCAACTAGTAAGATTACAGAGAGAAGCCTGCTCCATCTAGTATTTTCTATATATTCTAAGAGTGTGTGGGTGACTAAAATGGGGTTTGAGCCCTCCCTTTGCAGAGCAGCAAGATCCTGACAACACATACATTCTGGGAGCCCTATATCCTGGGTTGGCTTGAAGGAAGATCTGGGTTCTGAGCTCAGAGAGACTAAGCTACAACTGCTTTGGTCTTATTTTCTCCAAATCCAAATGAAAAATAATTATAACTACCACCCTAGCTTTCCTTATTGCCAGAACATTTTGAAAACATTAAAGATAACATACACTTTTAAAATCATTAGACTCCTATATGAAGGTTTAATGTTTCCTATAAAGAATGTAAAGGATGGCTGGGTAAAGTGGTGCATACCTATAATCCCAAAAATCTGGAGGCTAAGGCAGGAGGAATCTCCATGAGTTCCAGGCCAGCCTAAGCTACACTGACAATCTGACTCAGGAAAAAAAAGAAAGTAAGAAAGAGAATATAAAAGACAATATAATCAAAGCAAAAATCTTCCTGCTGGCACTCTCAATAAAAGAATAATATCATCAAGGTCTACATCCTTAAATGTAAACAGGACATAATAAAACTAGGCTTAAAATTACTATGTAGTTTGAAACTTTTTTTCTTTAAGTTTTTCTAAATTAAATATTTTCAAATCATATCCAGTACTTTAAAAAATATAGTCAGTTTCTAATAATTTCTTTTTACTCCCAAACTTCACAGTCAAGGTTAAATCAAAATACTAAATAGAAAAGGTTCCTTTTCCCCAGTAGCCCTTTCAGCCAGTTTGGTCATAAAGTTAATTAAGCAACAGGCAGTCCAGCTACTCACCATGTGTTTGGCAAAGCTCCCACCAGGACCAGTACTGCGTACCAGGTGACCTTCAGAAGGGAAGTTAAAGCTGCCAGCATTCAGGTTTTCTCGTGTGGAGTGATTACCAAAGAGAACAAATGGCTGCCGATTAGGGCTAGAACAGCAAATTAAAAAAAAAACCACATGATTAGAAGAGATACCGAGCCAGGACAACTTCATCAGACCTGAGTAAGTTCCAGGGGTTTTCTGATTGATGTCCTGTAGCATGAGCAAGGTAATCTATCTAAAGTTCCTGGTGGGGTGGGAAGGGATCAGATCTCTCTGCCTCTTCCTAGTGACTTATAGGGATCAGTCATTTTGGGACATAACTATACTCATGCTAGGTTTGTATTTTCAGCTTGTCCTCCTTTTTGAGAGATCAGTCCCATAAATTTGCTGTTCATGATGAAGTGATGGAGCAAAACCCTAGCTTTAAATATAGCATTTTTAAAAAAATAGCATTTTAATGGGAATTTTAATAGTAATTGTAATACACAGACTAGAAAGACAATAGCAGTTACCAGTTCCTGAGTAACCTTCCGGAGGGAGAAGAGGGTTGCACATAGTCTCATTTTTACCTCTAAGTGCCCTGATTTCACCACATGTCCAATTCATCCACTTTCTTGGCAGGACTCCACCACCTTCCCATTTTCTGCTTACAACTCAGCCCACTCTGATCAAACTTTCTCAGTCATTTCATTCAGAGGGTTTTGGCAAAAGTCACCAAGTGGGCTGGGGATTTAGCTCAGTGGCACTCTATCTGCCTTACAAGTGCAAGGTCCTGAGTTTAATCCCTGGTACCAAAACAAAATAAAATAAAAGAATAAAAATAAAAAGTCACCAAGTTAACGCAATGGACTTCTGCTTCCTCACCCTCTCAATTCAATAAACCTCTTGAAAATCTTTCTAATTTATTATCTGTTTCTCTCCAACCATGTGGCCACAATCCAAGTTTGTACCGCCATCATTTCCTCCCTGAATAAATTAAAGATTTCCTGTTTTCCTGGATCCACTCAATCTTTATAATGTATTTTACAAAAGTAACAATAATTTTTAAACATGCAAAGCATATACTGCCATTATACTATACTCAGGAGAAGGGCCTTGCACATGGTCACCAAGAACCCGTATGCTGGGATATGGCTCAGTGGAACAGTACTTGCAACAAGAACCTGTGTGGTCTGCTCAGCTCTATGGAAGGTCACTCTCCCCAGCCAAGCTCATCTTTTTATGTTAGGACCTTTGCTATTCTCCTTTCTCCCGATTATCTCTATTCACTGTTCATGTCAAGAGGCCAGGCTCTCTAGCTAGTTTTCACAGTATCACATGTTCTTTTCTCTTTTAAAGCTCAGATTTTTTGTTTTGTTTTGTTTTGTTTTTTTTGGTACCGGGGATTGAACTCTGGTCCTTGTGCTTGCGAGGCAGGCGGCACAACCACTGAGCTAAATCCCCAGCAAGGCTCAGACTTTGTAATGATTTCTCTCTCACTCTCTTTGAACCAAAAAGCAAAAACCCTGCTAAGCTTTATTCAGGTAGTGAGGGTTACCGAGGGTACACCTAACCCTGTGTTGTGCCTCCCCATCCTCGCTGTCCCCTTAGAACCTCCAATCTCATTTCTTGTTCTCCTCGCCACCCCTGGTGGCCTGGGAGGTGAGGTGTTTTGGATGGCTTCAGTATTAGGATCCATGCTGGGAAGGTTCTCCAGGACACTCTGAAGGAACCTGGGATTCTGCATAATCCTTCTCCTCCTTGGCTGATTAGAAGTGTCTATAGCTGAGCTAGCATCCACGTTGGCTGACTCTGCCTGAGCAAACGCTGCTCTCTGCAGGGACACCTTGCATGGCATAAGTGATCTGTTCTTCCTCAGTCATGCTGCTCAGGTGAGAAAGCCCGGTGCAGCCAAACCTTGCTGGCTGATGGTCATCTTCAGTAGGGTGTCATCTGAGTTTTTGGTCCGAATGCTAGCAATCCCAGCCTTGGCTAGAGAAGCTGTGGCTGCCCTTCAGGCCTCTTCCTTCTGCCACTGCCACTGCCCTCCATAAAACGTGAAGGGCCAGGGTCAGCTCAGGATCAGCACAGGGAACCACTTCAAATTCAAAGTCACTGGCACCAAGCCTCAGCATGGCACCACCTTCACTGGCCAGAATGGGAGAACTGATGAGTGCATGGGCCAAGCTGGGGCCAGGAGGCACTGCCACTAGATGAGAGCTGGTGCCATCTCTGCCATTCAGTGTGTTTAACGCAGGCTGTTAGTCTCCGTGTTTGCCTCCTGTTCCCCCAAATCGAGGTCAACATTCACTTTCTCTTTCTTTCTTAAGGTGTTTAGTCAGTTTTACCGAATCCTTCTCATTGTCCTCCATGGGGCTCCCCACAAAGGCAATGATGTGTATCTTGTGGCTCTTTCCCCGTCTGTGCTTCAGAGCCAGGAGGGCCACGTGAATAACAGCACAGAAGGGGATCTTGCCCTTCGGTTGGACAGTGTGAGCTTGGAGAGGACATGGCTGGTGTCAAGGGAGTGTGGTCAGCACTTCAGTCACTGGCCAGCGTGATGAGGCTGTTCTTGGGCTTGCTGCTGGTCTCTGAGTGACACTATGTTGACAGCGTCCTGCTGGGCCTGCAGCTGAGTGGGCAGGAAGTCGCCACTATGCACATACTCACTCTTGTCCATACAAATCACGGTGCTTTCGGACACCACCTTCCTACTTTCCTATGATTTCTCTTTTTTTTTTTTAGTATTATTTTCCATTTTTTAATTACTATATGTTTGCAGTATATAATTTTACATTCCTGTAGGGAGTTGGTGCATGTACACAATATATCTTTATTCTTATGTCCTCTTCCCCTTTCTTCTCCCCTTCCCTTTATCTCCTGCCCCTTTCTGCAAATATATTTCTCTGTGAAGTTGCTGACTGTCTTTCTGCTCTACCACACTATAAATTCCAGGAGAGCAGAGACTCTATTTGTTCTGTTTATTTTTAACCATGTAGCTCTCTTCCTTGGTATGTCATATGGTCTCAGTAAATATTCAACAAGAGAAAGGCTATTTTAAAGAATTTAAAACAAAATAAAAAATTTTTTGGTGCTGGCGATTGAACCCGGGACCTTGTGCTTGTGAAGCAGGCAGGAGAACCACTGTTAAAGAATTAATTTTGTTTTTGTTTTTGTTTTTGTTTTTTGTTTTGTGAGACAGGGTCTCACTATGTAGTTCAGATTGATCTGGAACTCACTATGTAGCCCAGGCTGGTCTTGAGCTCACAGCGATCCACCTGTCTCGGCTTCCTGAGTGCTGGGATTACAGGTGTGTGCCACCACACTCAGCAGAATTGATTTTTTTGAGATAGGGTCTCATTACACAGTTCAATCTGCTCTTGAACTCATTAAGTAGCCTATGCTGGCCTCAAACTCATGGCAATCCTCCTGCGTGCTGGGATTACAGGCATGTGTTACCAAGCCAGAACCAGAAAGAAAAAGAAAAAAGAAAAAAAATATATTTTTTTTTGTTTTCTCTCTTTAGTACCAGAAATTGAACTTAGGATCTTGTGCACGCCAGACAGACGTGGCACCACTGAGCTATGTCCCCAGCCCAGAAAGAATATTTTAAAAGATTGCTTCTTATCCTTTCCTTACACTTTTTTTTTTTTTGCATCACTAGGGATTAAACTCAGGACCTTGTGCTTGTGAGGCAGATGCAACACCCTGAGCTTAATACCCAGCCCTTAAACAGTTCTTAATGTGCATCATGTAGAAAATGTTTTGCATTTCACTTTATTCCTCTTAAAAATATACTTAAGTTTTAGGCAAATGTTAAAAATAAACATGATTACCAGGTGTGATGAAACACACCTGTAAAACCAGCACTCAGGGGGCTGAAGCAAGAGGATCACCAAGTTTACGGCCAACCTTCGCTCATAGTGAGTTCAAGGCCAGCATAAACTACACAGCAAGATCCTGTCTCAAAAAAAAAAAAAAAAAAAAAAAAGTGATTTCTTCTGGAAATCAATGCAAGCTAAGTAATGCTTTGGGCACAAAACTATAAGTCTAAATTCTACCATAGTAATTTGCCTCATTATTATTAGACTGGACTAGTGCTGTGGGAAGAAAAGAGGAAAGAGCCATCTCCTCTGTTCATCAGAAGAAGCACCTCCTGCTGATTGTGATGAAAATGCAGAAGGAACCACTTTTGAAATGTTATTATTCCCACCTTCCTTTTTTTTTTTTTGCTGTGGAGTTCAGATTGGCCTTGGACTCACAATGTAGCTCAGGCTGGCTGAGATCTCCCTATGATCTTCCTGCCTCAGCCTCACAAGAGTTGGGATTACAGGTGTGTGCCACCATGCCCAGCATGATATACAGTGTATTAACTATTGTTATTCTCTTATCATTTTGTTATGAAATTGTTTCATTTTTTTTTCATTAAAAAAAAGAAAAACACTAATGTAAGTTTTCAGGAAATCAAAGAAGTAATTCTCATCTTTTCGGATGCATAGTGTTAGGCTAAACATTAATCCTGGTAAGAAATTTATTTATTTATTGTTTGAGACAGGTCTTGCTATAGATGAGGTTGGCCTTGAACTTACTGTGTAGTCCAGGCTGGCCTTGAATTTGTAGTGATTCTTCTGTTTCAGCCTCCTGAGTAATGAGATTACAGGTATGTGCCACCACACTTGGTGCTATCCCCAATTTCTTCAGGAGGCTGGCCTTCACCAGGGATCCCTCTGATGCCCGCACAAACTTTTGCTGCTCCCCTGCTCAGCTTTGGATACTTTATTTTGTCTTGCTTTCCTGAGCTAAGGATGGAATAAATATTCTTTTCTTTAGATTTTGGTAGGATATAATCTTTTAAAAACCACTTCCCTGGCCGGGCATGGTGGTGCATGCCTGTAATCCCAGCACTCGGGAGGCTGAGGCAGGAGGATCACTGTGAGTTTGAGACCAGCCTGGACTACAAAGTGAGTTTCAGGTCAGTCTCAACTATATAGTGAGATGCTGTCTCAAAAAAAACCAAACCAAATGGAAAAAAAAAAAAGCACTTCCCTATAAAACTACAGAAAGATAAAACTAATACATAAATACAAAAGCAGTGAAACAAATTTACAGAGGATAGAGTTTTACCCTTTGAGGACTGAAGTTGATCCATTCTCTTGAATCAAGCTTCTGAACTTGGATGTCCCCCTTTATCTACCTCTCATCGACTGTTTTTCTCTATTACTTTTCATTCTTCCTCCCTAGGAATCTTACCTGTTTTCAGTTATATGGCTGGAGATCATTCCATGACTGAAGTAACTTCTGAATGGCTAAAAACAAGTCAACACTGTATATGAGATCACAATTTTGTAAAATAATCACAAACCCCTCACATATGACCCCTCACGTACATATACTGCATGTGTCAAGGAAATGTGTAATGTGTTTGTGGGCACACATGAGGGAGGTGGGGGAACAGAGAGGTTTCTGTAGATTATTATAAGAATGCAGAAGCCTAAGTGTGGTAGATAGCAACATGAATTTTGGGGACAGGTAACAAGCAAACAAAATATTAGCAAGGAGGGCTGGGGATTTAGCTCAGTGGTGCCTCCACCTGCCTCACAAGTGCAACGTCCTGAGTTTAATCCCCAGTATAAAAAAAAAAAAAAAAAAAAAAAAAACACACAAGGAAAAAAGTGCTGTAAAAAGAAAATAAAGCAAAATTCTTTTCACGTTCATAGTTTTTAACTACTGAAAGAAAACTGGACTAACTACCACCTATGGTCCAAATTGCTATCTCTATGGAGATCTTATATTTTTTCTATTTAAATGTTTTTTCTATAATTCCAATAAATGATTATATTACTTAAAATATGCTAATTTAAAATGTGCAATGAGGGAGAACTGAAGGAATGTAGTACACCGACTTGAGCTATTACGTTTCTGCTTAGTAAGTCTTTTTTGTCTATGTCTTATACTCTAACTACTTTTAAAATTACAATACAGAGTGTATTTTTTTCCTTCGAGACAAGGTTTCAATATGCAGTTCAGGCTGGCTTTGATTACCATGTAGTCTAGGCTACCTTCAAAGTTGTAGTGATCCTCCTGCCTCAGCCTCCTCAGTGCTGGAACTACAGGCTTATGCCACTATGACTGGCATGATATACAGTATTAATTCTCCCTTTCCCTTTCTCTCCCTCTCCCTCACTTTCTTTCTCTCTCTTTTTTGAGACAGGTCATGCTATGCAGTTCAGGCTAGTCTTGAACTGACTATGTAGCCCAGGCTGGCCTCGAATTTGCAGCCACCCTTCTGCCTTGGCCTCCCAAGTGCTGAGATTACAGGCGTGCGCCACTACATCCGGTCTTCTTATCTTGTTAAGAAATTTTGTTTTATTTTTTCATTAAAAAAAAAAGTACATTGATATAAATTCAGGAAACCAAAGTCATTCTCACCTTTTGGATGCACAATGTCAGGATAAACATTAATAGAAAATTAACATGCAGATTTTATTGCCAAAAGTTTAGAAAATTTCAAAAAGGCAATTTTATTTTCCCTAACGAACACCTACACTAAATCTTTTTTCTATGGTACATCTATAGACTATATATGATAGTCGACTACCAGACACATAGTTCTCTGTTCTTGGAGATTTATACTGTTATTAACTTGTCTATATCAAGAATAATACTGTAATGAGCCAGGTGTGGTGGCTCACATCTGTAATCCCAGCACTCAGGATGCTGAGGCAGGAGGGTCACCTTGAGTTCGAGGCCAGCTTGGGCTACATAGTGAGTTTGAGGCCAGCCTGGACATTGTACAACCCTGTGAAAATGAAAAAAAAAAAAAAAAATGGGGCCAGTGATTTAGCTCAGTGGCGCCGCCACCTGCCTCACAATAAATTTTATCTGCATAGCCAGGTGTGGTAGTGTACACCTGTAGTCCCAGAACTCTGGAGGCAGAGGGCAAGAGGACTGCTCCAAATTTAAGGCTAGCCTGTGCTACACAGTGAGTTCAAGGTCAGCCTGCACTACAAAGTGAGACTCTGACTCAAAAAACCACAACAAAAGTAAATAAATTTTAAAAATCTTATCTGCAGCTATAATTATTTCCCAAAACAGCTCTGGAAATAAAATTATATAATATAATATAATATATAATATAAGTTGTTTTACAAAGCAGTTTTATCAATGTACATGCCTACTCACAGTGAGTAGTACTTACCTCTAGTCTTATTACCAGCACTGCCTATGGAATGGTTTAAGTAGATTTGTCAAGTCAGTGAAAAATGGTACCTCACTATTATCTTATTTTATAACCTTTTACTTTGTTTTCCTCAGTACCGGAGATCAAACTTAGGACCTTGCTCTTGCAAGGCAGGCACAGCCATTAAGCTAAATCATTGGCTCTAACCTTTAACTTTTTTTTTTTCTGGTACCAGAGATCGAACTCAGGACCTTGTGATTATGAGGCAGGCGGTGGAAACTTTTACTTTTTAATGCAGAATATTTTGAATATGTTTGTAGCCATCTGAACTTTTTCCTTGTTAGTTATCTGTTTTTCATTCTCTATTGTCAATAAGCATTTTGGTGCTTGTTTTATTGATCAGTAAAATCTATTTTAGGTTAAAATAATAATAACTACAGCCAGGTGTGGTGGCACATGCCTATAATCCCAGCACTCAGGAGGCTGAGCTAGGAGGATCACTGTGAGTTCAAGACCAGCCTAGACTAAATAGTGAGGGCAGTCTGAACTACACATTGAGACCCTGTCTCAAAAAAAAAAAAAAACAACCAACCAAACAAACAAACAAATAATAACTACAATTGGGCTGGGGACATAGCTCTGTGGCAAAGCACCACTTGCCTGGCAAGTGCAAGGTCCTGAGTTCAATCCATGGTTCCAAAAACAAAATAAAACACCACCACAATTTACCATAGGCTTGTCATGTAAATATGAAAGGCAATGAAATGAATCATCTCAAGAAACGCTAATAACAACCTAAGAGGTTCATGCTATCACTGTCCCCTATGTACAGATGCACTGGTAAGACACAAAAGTGGTCAAGGTCAGAAGCTAGTGAACTGCACAGCTGGGATTCTAACTGGTCAATCATTTTGGGGAAAATCTATAAAATTAGATCTATCTCTCACATCACACAAAACTTCTATGTGGACTAGGGATCTAAACATAAAAATTTAAGCCATGCAGTACCAGGGGATGGATATTCTTTTTTACGTGGTTCTGGAGATCAAACTCAGCACCCTGTGAATACTAGCTAGGCAAGCACTCTACCACTAAATTATTCTTTAAACTTCAATCAAATCCTTTCTCTGCACAATGACTTGAAATACGAAGATAATAAAATATGTATATTTATATAAAAATAAAAGTTTCCATGGCAAAAGAAATAATAAGTAAAGCATCAGGGATAAATAGAGAAGAAATTATTTGGTATGTATATATAAAGAACTCTAAAACTAAGGGACAAAAGACATCCTAAAAACCTATGCTTGGGTTGGGGATGTACCTCAGGAGTAGAGTGCTTATCTAACATGTGTGAGGCCCTCGGTTCCCCAGTGCACAAACAAAAAAGACAAAACGAAATTTAAAATGATACTCAAGGGCATGAAAGAACACTCAGATTTGCTCATAATTAGAGAAAGGTAAATTAAAACAATCCTGATATACCATTTCCCATCTATAAGACTGTAAAATTTTTTATAGTATGACAACATAATCTATCTGTGAGGGTGTGGAGCAACAGGAACTCTCATATATCTTCACTGCTGGTGGGAATGCAAATTGGGATGGTGTACCCCTTAGGGGGAATTTGGAATGGCTAATACCACTGCACACACTCTTACCTTTAGACCCAGCTATCCCATTACTAGGTATATATCCCTCTAACAATATGAAAATACGTAAGCACAAAACAATTTACTATGGCACTATTTGGAATGGTAAAATATTGAAAACAACCTAGACATGCATACATAAGAGAGTACCTGAATAAATTAAGACAAATTCACACAACGGAGTACTACAAAGTGTAACAAATGAGGAAATTTTCAGAGGGGATGTAGCTCAGTGGTAAATTACCTGCCTAGCAAGTACTTGCCTTCAAGACCCTAGGTTTGATGCCCAGCATCAGGGGTAAAAAAATAAATAAATCAGAAAATTTCAATGAACTAATTTGGAGAAAGTTCTAAGATTTATTGTTGAGTGAAAAGAGCAAAATGGAAATAGCTCTGTGCTACTCTTCAATCCAACAAAGAGGAGGATATCAGAAAATATACATGTATCTATCAAATCACACAAAACAGATACATGAGAAACTCTTTTTTAATATCTTTCACTCTTTGAACCATAGTAATAAAAGATAGGAAAAAAATTTTAAAAACCAGAAAAGGCAGCGGGGAGATAAGAGACAACTTGAAGTAGTCTATTTTAGGGGTAAATGGAGTCTCTGAAAGAAAGCAGAGAGCTTTGGAACAGAAAAAATATTTAAACAAATAATGGGACAAAAACTTTGCAAGCTTGACAAAAACTGAGAAGCTCAACCACAAGAAATATGAAGAAAACTACAGCAAAATGGTTAATCAAATTGTTCAAACCAGTAATAAAGAGAAAATCTTAAACCAGGTGTGGTGGTGCATGCCTGTAATCCCAGCCCTCAGGAGGCTGAGGCAGGAGGATTGCTGTGAGTTCAAGGCCAGCCTGGGCTATCTAGTAAATGCAGGGCCAGCCTGAAATTTAAAGGGAGACCCTCCCTCAAAAAACAAACAAACAAACAAACAAAACCAAAAACAAACAAAAGAAAAAGAAAGTCTTGAAGTCTCCAGAGAGAAAATAAAGACCTTCTATGTGCAGAGGATCAAAGATTAGGATAAAACACTTCTCACCAGAAACAATGTGCATGGGAATATAGTAGAGCAACATCTTTCAAGCACCAAAAGGAGAAAACTTTCAGCCTAAAATTCACATGTGGCAAAATCTTTTCAAATGAAGGTGAGCTGGGGGTATAGGCACGTGCCTGTGATCCCAGCACTTGGGAGGCAGAGGCAGGAGGATTGCTTTAAGTTCAAGACCAACCTGAACTACAATAGAAAGACCCTGTCTCAAAAAAAAAAAGCAAGATACTTTGTTCTTTCTTTCTTTTTTCAGTACCAGGACTCAAACTCAGGACCTTGCACTTGTGAGGCAGGCGTGGTGGCACTGAGCTAAATTCCTGACTCTGAAATATTTTTTTCAGACATACAAAAGCTGACAGAATTCATTATCAGAAGATCTGAACCACAAGAAATGTTAAAGGATATCCTTCTAAGAGCATGATACCAACTGGAAATCCAGGTCTATGCAACGGAATGAAGAGCACCGGAGAAAGTAATGACATAGGCAAATATAAAACATCTTTTTTTCTCCGATTAAATTTTTAAAAACATAACTGATCAAATGCACAAGACCAACTCCAGCTCCAAATAATGAAGAAGAGGACTTGTGCTGGGGATTTAGCTCAGTGGCACTGCACCTGCCTTGCAAGTGCAAGGTCCTGAATTCGATCCCTGGTACCAAAAAAAAAAAAGAGGACTTGTTCTGGGCTACAGTGCACTGCAAGCCAAAGGAAGACTTAGGGCAATGCAAGACAGCCCTTCTAATCCTTCCTGTAGAGTAGTTTCTGTGACTGCCCTGTGCCGTGTTCCCCATCTAGCTACTTTAGTTCATTCATACAGAGGTCTTAGCCTGAACCTAGTAATTGCTCTTAACAGTTTCTTTGGAAAGGTAGCTACACATTCATGACTTGGAGGTACAGCTAAAAAAAAAAGTGTATTACTCACACATGGGGAATTAGTAACTAGTGATCAACAAATTCCTGGTTGATAGACTCATCACCAACTGAAAAGTTAATGTCCTTCTCAAAGAGAAGGTGGCACAGGAGAAAAAAAATTGTTTTTGAGGCACTGAGGATTGAACCCATGGTCTCACAAGCACTCTACCACCAAGCTGCACCTCTGGCCTCCAAATAACTTTTTATATATGGATAAGGATCTCAGGGGAATTTCTTTTGGCATACAGAACAGTTTAAGGATACGATAACCAAAATAAATTAAGATAATGTATTTTGAGAGTAACTTTGGTGGTGTTTTTTTGAGACACAGTCTTGCTATGTAGTTTAGGTGGCCCTGAACTCACTATGTAGCTAGCCTAGGCTAGCTTGAACTGGCAACAATCCTCCTGCCTCAACCTCCCAAGTGTTGTGATTACAGGTGTACACCAAACCTGCAGTTTTTTTAAGACAAGATCTTGCTGTGTAATTCAGGCGGGACTGGAACTCACTATGTAGGTTTAGTAGGTCTCAAACTTGTGGTGACCCTCCTGCCTCAGTCTCCTGAGAGCTCAGATTATAGGTATGTATCACCACACCCAGTGAGAACAAAAAGTTAAATAACAAATATAAACAATGTATAAATAAACCAATTTCTTCTTTCTCTTTGACTTCTTTTACATACCTCACCAGCTTGTGATTCTGAAAGTTCCAGTAGGAAAGGAATTTCCGTGTCAAAATTAGCAAAGAAGTTAGTCCACTGATGTTCAAAAGCCACCAAATCCTAGGAAGAAAATGAAAGAGATAATGTCATATAAAGAAGGGACTTCAGAAAACCCAAGTCATGAAAGTGCAAATGATCTCAAAATACCTGAGTGTATAGGCATGTGTGCATATATATATGTTAAAAGATAGTGGCACACCGCAGATACATACTATAACATGAATGAGTCTTAAGAACATTATACCAAGTGAAAGAAGCCAGATATAAAGTGAAAGTGAAACACCACCAGAAATGTGTTCCATTTATAAGATATTCAGAGAGGGCAAATCTATGGAAACACAAAGTATATTAGTACTTGCCTGGGGCTGGGTGTGGGAATGAAGACTGACTACAAGTGTGGACAAGATAACTTTTTTTGTTTTTGTTTTTTTTTTATTTGAGACAGAGTCTCACTATGTAGTTCAGGCTGGCCTTGATCTTGTTGTAGTCCTCCTGCCTCACTACCTGAGGGCTGAGATTACAGATGTGTGCTACCACGCCCAGCAAGATACTTTTTGGGCTGGGTTGATGAAAAAGTTAAAAAATTAGTGGTGATGGTGGCACAACTCTGTAAGTTTACTAAAATCACTGAAATATAAATTTTAAATGGGTGAATTTTATGTACATGAATTATATTCCAAAAAGTTGTTTTTAAAAAGTAGTTAACGACTCTTAAGTGACTTTATCGACTCTTATTGGGAAGAAGAACTTATTTATGAGGCACCTAAAGGACAGTACTATGTCCAGGTCCCAAAGTCTCACAGCATGAAGCTTCAATGAAGAATAAACTAGCTAACCTCAGAAGCTCGGAGGGGCAGAGGAGGCAGGAAGCCCTCTCTTCCTAGAGGCCAAGTGAATACTGAGAAACTCTACTCCTTCCCAGCTGACGATCTTCTACATGCAGCTTTCGCATCCCATCCTAATCTAGCTGCTTTTCCTTTCTGAATTCATTCTTGTTTCCAAACACCATACACTGGGTTCTTTTGTTCTATTTTTTGGGTCTCGCTATATGGCTCAAGCTGGCCTTGAACTCACTATGCAGACCAGGCTGGTCTCAAACTCACTCTGTAGCCCAGGCAGGCCTCAAACTCATAGTGAGCCTCCTGCCTCAGCCTCCCAAGAGCTGAGATAACAGGTGTGCGCTACTACATCCAGCATATATTGCATTTTGTTACTGGCTTTTCTGTAAGGCATCATCAGTTAATAAAAACAATCAGCTATAATTTGTTTAAGATACTTTGCAAATAGTACCTTTGGTCTTATTTTAAAGTTACTAATGTGTATTCAAATCGGATAGTTGCCTTCACTGTTCATCTTGACTTGTAAGAATAAGTATGTCAGGTATGCAGTTTAATGCTCTATGCAATACATTCTGTCTGCTGCACCAAAGCCCACAGGCTGGATCTACACTCTTCTCCGTTCTTTTCTGGTGGAGCACAGGTACTCAGACCTGTTAAACATTATATACTTCTTGATAAAGAATATAATACCTTCTAGGAAGTAGTCTTTCCTCTGAAAATCAGTTCTGAAACTCATTAAACCTCTACATTCAATTACTAATAATCAGGAAATACAAAGGCCAGAAAAAAATTTAAACTACATAAAAGGAATGAAATCAAACACATCCCAGGGCCGGGGATTTAGCTCAGTGGTGCCACTGCCTGCCTAGCAAGCACAAGGACCCAAGTTTAATCCCTGGTACCAAAACAAAAAGAAAAACAAAATCCCTATAGTGGAAGACTTTAATACTCTACTATCACAAAATAGATTAACACAACAACAAAAGCAACAGAAATAAAAGAAGTAGCAGTTGAACCAAACATTTGAACAAACAGACTTAATAGGTATGTACAGTGTTCTACCCAGCCACACTAGAATACACATTCTTCTTAGCAGTGCATGGAACTTTCCCCCAAATAAACCATGTACTAAACCATAAAGGATAAAGCATGCTTAAATATGTAAAAAAAAAGAATAAAAATTATCTCACACATATTTCCAGATCATAGTGAAATGAAACTAGATTATCAGGGATTTAGCTTAGTGGTACTGTGTCTGCTTTGCAAGCCAAGGTCCTGGGTTTGATCCATGGTACCAAAAACAAAAACAAAAGCAACTAGAGATCAATGGCAAAAAACCCCTACAGAAATCACGCAAGCACATGGAGGTTAAACAACACACCTTTTTTGGGAGACAGGGTTTCTCTATGTAGCCCAGGCTGGCTTCAAACTCACAGCTAGCTATCCTCTTGCCTTAGCCTCCAGAGTGCTGGGATTATAGGCTTGCACTACCACACTAGGTTGAACAATACACTCTTTTTTTTTTTTCTTTTGGTGGTACCAGGGATTGAATTTGGGACCTTGTGCTTGCAAAGCAGGTGGTGGAAACATTGAGCTGAATTCCTGGCCCTGAACAATACACTCTTGAATAATCAATGGGTCACAGAGGAAATTAAAACAGAAACTAGTTCCTAGAATCAAAGGATAATGCTAGTACAACATATTAGAACCTATGGAACATAATGAAAACAATAGTAAAAGGGATGTTTATAGCTGTAAGCACCCCCATCAGAAAAACAAAGCAAGCCCAAATAAATAACCTAATGATGCAGTTCAAGGTCTTGGAAAAACAAGAATAATCCAAATCCAAAGCAAATATAAGGAATGAAATTATAATAATCAGGATAGAAATTAATGAAATTGAAACTAAAAGACAATACAAATAATCAATGAATCAAAGAGCTGGTTCTTTGAAAGAATAAATACAATAGACAAACCTTTAGCTAATCTTACAAAAAGAAAAGAAAGAAAAGACCAAATCAATACAATTAGAAACAAGAAAGGAAAAATTACAATGGACACCACTAAAATTTAGATTACCCATAACTACTATGAAAACCTATACTAAATTGGAAACCCAGAAGAAATGGATAAAATCCTAGATGAATATGAAAAATCAAAACTGAACCAAGATGTAAAAACCCCGAATAATCCGATAACAGGCAATGAAACTAAAGCAGAATGAAACAAAAACAAAAAACTGCCAACTGAGAAAAGTCCAAGACGGATTGATTCACCACTGAATTCTATGTCAGAGAAAATTCTAACACCAATACTCCTCAAACTCTAATGAAACTGAAAGGGAAGGAATGTTCCCAGTCTTTTTTTTTTTTTTTTTTTTTTTTTTTTTTGTATGACAGGGCCCCACTATATAGTTTGGGCTGGTCTTGAACTCACTATGCAGCCCAGGCTGCCTTTGAACTCATAGTGATCCTCCTGCCTCTGCCTCTGGAGTGATTACAGCTGTGCATCACCATGCCGGGCCCAGTCATTCTTGAAAGCTATCATTATCCTGATTCCAAACCAGACAAGGACCCAATCAAAAAAGACAGCTCTCTCCTCTCTCTCTCGCTCTCTCTCTCGCTCTCTCTCTCGCTCTCTCTCTCTCTCTCTCTCTGTCTGAGACTGATCTGGAATTCACTATGTAGTCCAGGCTGGTTTGGAACTCACAGCAATCCTCCTGCCTCAGCCTCCTGAGTGCTGAGATTACAGGCGTGGGCCACCACTCCCGGCCAGGTCCATCTCTTTAATGTAAATACACACCAAATTCCCAACAAGATACTGGCAAATGTAACAAACCATCAAAAAATTTTTAAATCATGACCAAGGAGGCTTCTGCCCAGGGAAAAAAAGTGAGACAGGAGATTAAGGCATGACAAAACTGGCTGAGAAAGTAGGTGTGACCTGTTAATTACAAGATCCTGGAAGACAAATGCAGAACAGTTCCCAAAGCCCTGCTTACAGATTTCTCCTGAGAACTACTATGCAGTTACACCACTGAGAAGCAATCTTCAGCACTTCTAGACAAAGTTATCAGCTTAATTATTTTTAAGTAACATTAAATCTGGCTCTTGGCCTTTACACTTCAGGACAGATGAAAAGATTCCTAGAAGACATTTAAAAGGCTTCATTCCCCTTCTTTTTTTTTTTTTTTTTCACTTTGTAGTGCTGGGATTGAACCTTGGGCCTTGTACATGCTAAGCAAGCATTTTACAGCTCAGCCATAGCACCAGACCTTTTTACTTTTTAGGTTTTGAGACAGGGGGTCTCACTAATTTTCCCAGGCTGGCCTTAAACTTGCAATCCTCATGCCTCAGTCTCCCAAATTACTAGAATTATAGGTGTGCACCACAACTCCCTTCACCCCTTTGATATCACCTAAGATTGTGAAACTTGTGGGAAGTCTGAAAATTGGGAAAGAGCTGGCTGTGGTGGTGCACGCCTGTAATCCCAGACCTCGGGAGGCTGAGGCAGGAGGACTGCCTGAGTTAGAGGCCAGCCTAGGCTACACAGTGAGTTCCAGGTCAGTCTCATGGCACTCCTCCTGCCTCAGATTCCTGAGTGCTGTGAAAAGAACAAGGCATGATTACAGGGCTGGGACTTTCAGGCCCACCCCTCAATCTCAGAGAAGGGGAGATGGTGTGGAGGCCATCAGTCAATGGCCAATGACATATTCAATCATACTTATTTAATGAAGCTTCTGTAAAACCCAAAGGGACAAGGTACAGAGAATTTCCAGATAGCTCAGTAAGTGAAGGTTCCCAGGGAGGGCATAGGATCTCTGCACCCCCTTCTCATATGCCTCATCCTGCGTATCTCCTCGACTGCTCATTTGTATCCTAGGTAGCACCAAAAAACCAGTTAAGCAAGAGCTGGGTGTGGTGGTGCAGGCCTGTAATTCTAGCACTCAGAGGGGTGAGGCAGGAGCATAACTGCAAGTTCAAGGCCAACCTGAGCTACATACATAGTGAGTTCAGGATCAGCCTGAACTAAATAGTGAGGCCTCCCCTCAAAAATCCAAAACAAACAAACAAGTTTATACAAGTAAAGTGGTTCCCTGAGTTCTGTGAACCACTCTAGTACATTAAGTGAACCCAAGGAGGGTTTCTAGGGAACCCCTCACTTATAGCTGAGTCAGAAGTACAGGTAATAATCTACTACTTGTGACTGGGTACCCAAAGTGTGAGGTGGATGGTCTCGTGAAACTGAATCCTCACCCAGTGGGATCTGATGCTATCTCCAGGGAGACAGTGACAGAACTGGGTTAAAAAGGAGGCCATCCAGCTGCTGGCTACTGGAGAAGCACCTGGTGTGCGGAAAAACAATGCAGACAGCTGGCCTGGGAAGGGCTAAGAGAGCAGGAGAAACACTTTGGTTTGATTTTTTCCTTTGTCTTTGTGTTAGTTTTTTTTCCTTCCTTATCCTTTCAACTTTATGTAAATATATTTATATCTTTATTACTTGATTTTTAGGGGTTTTAAATGACATTTTTTGATATGCTATCTTCTGGTTAATAAAGATAAAGAAAACAATTTCTCATATTACCTCTTATCTTTTTTTCCTACCAACTTTTGTCAGTTATGTCATCTGTGTAAACAAAGTTAATACAGTTACACTCTATTGTGCCACCATAATTCTCATAAATGCTTTAATTTTAGTCTATAATCAAAGACCTATGCTAACTGCTTCTATTACAGCCTTTTCAGTCACATCTTGATGGCTGGAATCTGCCCTCTATTAGGTTTCTTTAGAAGCTCCTGAGAACCATGGATCACAGTACTTATAAATTCAAAATATTTGGCTGGGGTTGTAGCTCAGTAGTAAAGCATTTACCTAGCATGTACAAAGCTGGATTCATCTTCAGTCACACACACACAAAGAGGTTGGTGAGTGTGGTGCCAGTCTTGGTAAGCTCAGCACTCAGGCGGCTGAGGCAGGAGAATCTCAAGTGTGAGGCCAGCATAGGCTACATATTGAGTACAAGCTTAGCTTGGATTACATAACAAAACCTTGACTCAATTTTGAGGTTACTTTTTTAAAGGATATTTTATAGGTGTTTACTTTTTTTCTGATGTGAAAAAACTCTATGGCCAGTTTGAATTTTCCTTTAAACTAGCAAAGCTTTTTTTTTTTTTTTTTTGAGACAGGGTCTTGCTAGCCCAGGCTAGCTTCGAACTTGCAGCAATCCTTCTGCCTCAGCTTTCCAAGCGTTAGGTATTACAGGTGTGTGTCACTATGCCTGGCTCTACCAGAGTATTCTGTTTAAAGTTTTTGGGGGAAGGGATTTTTACAACAGGGTCTTACTTTGTAGTTTAGGGTGACCCTTAACTTATTATTTAGCTCAGGCTAGCCTAGAACTTACGGCAACCCTCCTGCCTCTGCCTCCCAAGTGCTGGGATTACAGATGTGAGCCACCATGCCCGGCCTGTTAAATTTCTTGTTTGGTTGGTTGGTGTTTTTTTTTTTTTTTAGTCCTAGTACTGTAACTTTACTAGGATATGTCCCAGTGTTGACCATCCTGGGACAATTTTCTGTGGCACAGTATGCCTTTTTCAGTACTTAGATTTAAACTTATTCCAGGGAAATAAAAGTTTTGAAATTGTATATTTTCATTTTCTTCTTATCCTTTTATTTTTTACTCTGCCCATTCAAAGGACCTAGAACCAATGTCCCACAGTATCATATAACATGTAGCACACAGATCATGATCTCTGAATGCTATTCTTCACTAAAATTAACATGAATGCCTTAGGGTAACCACTGGCTCCAAGTTTGAGGCAGAAAAAATTCAAGATAATCCTGGAACATCCTGTGTGGAGGGGGAAGAGAAGAAGGGGAGGGAGAGACTGATATTCTAAATTACTTTGTGCCTCTCCCAGCAGATCCTCATGAAAAATGATAGTATCAACCAGGGATTTAGCTCAGTGGATCATGCGTGCCTTGTAAGTGCAAGGTCCTGAGTTTGATCCCTGGTACTAATAAAACAAAACGAAAATTGATAGTAACACATTGTAGTCTACCCTATTCTAAATAGGAAGAACAAAGTCAAACATCACAGAGTATACAGCAGGTAAAGCTTTACCAATTTTTAAAAACCCAACACATCTGAATACTCAAGTCTTTGATTATGCACGTTCATCCATGTCCATCAAGTGACACTACTGAGCTGCTTAAGCATGGTACTTGTTTCTATAATTTTAGTTTTGTTTGTTATTTCTTACTGCAAATCCCCTCACCTGAAAATTTTTTCCAAAGTTCTGATGAACAATTCATGTCTGAGGAGTTGGCAAATTATAGCCTGGGAGGGTCATGTTATTTTTGTAAACACGGTTTCCTTGGAACACAGACACACCCATGAGTTTAAGCATTGTCTAGGCTACAATGGGCTACAACGGCACTGCTGAATAGTTCCAACAAACACAGGGCACACAAAGCCAAAAATACTACTCTCTAACTCTCTACAAAGCAAGTTTGGGGCTCCTGTTGTAATTAATTCCCATCAGCCACATCCCATCTTTTCATATCAAAACAAGCAAAACAAGCAAAAGACACCTTCTGCCTTGTTTTACGGAAGTCCAGTCCCACAGAAAGGTGAAGCCTTACACCCAAGGCCAGGTAAGGAAGGAGGTCCTGGTTTTGCCACAGGTGAGGTTTCCTCACCAAAAGTGGAAGAGGGAGTTCAGGACAACAATCTCATAAGAAATTGCTCTATTTGTTGACTAAAGCAAATTAAATCATACCTTTTCTTCAAATTAAATCTGTTTAGTGTCTTGTTTTGTTTGTTTGTTTGTGACAGAGTCTCACTCTGTAATCCAGGCTGGACTTGAACACTATGTAGCCTAGGATGGCAGTGAACTCATGGTGACCCTCTTGCCTCCGTCCTGTGCCACCATACTTGGCTTTAGTGTATAACTGAGCTGGCTGTACTATTCTTGCTTTTTAATGGTTAAATATTAAAATTGGGGGGGGGCACCGGGGATCAAACTTGTGCTTGTGAGGCAGGCAGCAGACCACTGAGCTATATCCCCAGCCCATTTTTTTTTTCCATTAAGTTTACTGGTACATTTAAGGTAAACAATCTTGTACTTTTACATGATGTATCCTGGTTGTTATTTTTTCCCCATTCCCCTGCCCTCCTTTCATGTACTATTCTTAAACACTGCTGGCTCCTTACTTCTGTAACCAAGTTCTCCAGCGACACAGGATCCATCTTGCTGTAGACATTCCAAAGATTCAAACTCACATCCTGCAGCTGTAACAAAGGGCAAAAACATAGAAATAAATGAAATCAAGTTGTTAGGACAATCTGAATTATTTTCTTTCTTTCTTTTTTTGGTACTGGGGATCAAACTTGGAACCTTGCGCTTGTGAGGCAGGTGACAGTACCACTAAGCTAAATCCCCGGCCCATTTTCTAATGTTTAGAAATTACAATCTTAGTATAAAGTTAGTGTGATTACATATTGATAATATATTGATATCGATAATATAACAAACTACTATTAATAATTGCATTATCAATTTTTGGGTTTTTTTTTTTGAGACAGGGTCTCACTATGTAGTTGAGATTGACCTAGAACTCACTATGCAGCCCAGGGTGGTCTTGAACTCACAGCAATCCTCCTGCCTCAGCCTCCCAAGTGCTGGGATTACCAGTGTGAGCCACCATGCCTGGCTTGCATTATCAATTATTAAGTATATTAGAACCTATAAATATTAATAAATGCTTTCGCATTCAAGGAAACTTTCAGAACCTTTGGTATATCTTTTATCTTCTATGATAACACATACATATTTAAACACATTATATGTACATGCATAAACACATGCATATGCTATATATTTTTGCCTTTGAAATAAAATTTCAATCAAAATAATCTATGTCCATGATTTTAAAAAAATCAAACAGTACAAAATACTTGTAATAAAAAACTGTAATCCCCTATTCCAGTGATGATGAATTTTTTAAGAAACCAAGTGCCCAAACTGCAACCAAAAACCCACTTATTTAATCCAAAGTGCCAATACTGCAATTCAACCTGAATACTGAGGTTTTAGTTAGAAAAACACAACTCATACATTAAAAGAAAAACACAATGGTAGAGCTTTCAATGATACAAACAGTTTGCTGTGGCATTGCATAACAACCTTTCACAACCCTACATTAGTCTCACTCCTCAGAAGAAACTACTGAAGTTCTAGTATCTTTTTTTATTTAAAAAGTTGAGCCCGGTATGGTGGCACATGCCTGTAATCCCAGTACTTGGGAGGCTGAGGCAGGGGGAGGCTGAGGCAGGAGGATCGCTGTCAGTTTGAGACCAGCCTGGGCTACATAGTGGGTTTCAGGTCAGTCTGAACTACACAGTGAGACCCTGTCTCAAAAAGCAAAACAAAAACAAAAACAAAAACAAAAACAAAAAGTTGAAAATATCTTATTATATGCAGTTTACAATCATGTTGGGGGGTGGGTACATGTACTTACTACAGCTTGTTTCTTTTTTTAAATCCTCCTGCCTCCCTCCTCCTCTAATTCCCCTATCCTGATTTATATTCTTTTTTATTTTATTAATATTAGCTCATGTTATAGTATATGTAGGTTCCTGTATGTGACATAGCTTTTTTTGGTATTTATTTCCATATTTTGAAATAATACACTTCTCTCGCTACATTTAGCAGTTAAATATTAATTTATGGCAAACACTGCTCTTTTACATTCATCTCCATTCCCACACTTTTTCTCTACATACATCATGAGATATCACTATTTTTGTTACATCACTATAGTTTATAATACTAATTATTAAGCACAAGTGCATACTATATTCCACTTTGATTTGTCTTTCTTAGATGCATAAACAAATTCATTTTTTTCACTTGCAAGATTTTTTTTTTAACAAATAAATTCAATCTCTTTTTCTCAGCCTCCACCCCCCCAATTTGCTTCTTATCAGGTTTCTCAACAGTGAAACTACTGTTATTGGGGTCTGGTATTTCTTAGCCTGTGGAGCTAGCCCTGTGCATTGCAAGATTCCTAGTAGTATCCTAGTTCTCCATTCACTACATGTGTATAGCCTTGCTCTTGTCCTGAAAGCCAAACCAAAAGTATTTATAAACACTGTCAAATGTTTGGGGGTAGAAGAGGGCATCATTCCGAACTGAGATCTGCCTTAAGCATACCAAATAATCCATCAATTTCCTTTCTTCCTACTGCTTTACTCTGGCCTGCAAGCTTGTTACACAGATACAACTTTCACTTTGACACTTCTCTTTGCTAACATTCAGAGCTTGTGGATGATGGACCTGGTTTTCTGGCTTTCTTGTCTCCTCTTTCTTGCTGAAGCGTAACACCCAACTCTAAGAAGGATTAATAGTAAACAAACTTTTTTCTTGATTTTTAACATTACTTTATTCTGTCTTCATAGTTGACTGATAGTTCACTGATGTTCTTTTCTTTTTGGATTCTCTAACCTCTCTGGGCTTTATCTTGGATAATTTCTACTGCTATGGCTTCACTTTCACTAATCTTTTATTCTGCACTGTCCAATCTGCTGTTAATCTCAACTAGTGTTTTTGTTTAAGACAGGATCCTGCTATATTGCTTAGGCTGACCTTGAACTCAATCCTCATGCCTCAGCCACCCAAGTTGCTGCATGAACCGCTGTGCCCTGCTTCAGATAGTATGTTTTTCATTTCAAACACTGTAGTTTTCATCTATAGAAGTTTTGTTTGTTTTTTGCAGGACTAGGAATTGAACCCAGGACTCTTTCACTGAGCTATATTCTAAACCCTTTTTTTTTTATTTAATTTTTTAAAATGAGATAGGGCTTCATTAAATCTCTAAATTGCCCAGTCTGGGCTCAAATTTGTGAAGCATGTGTGTTGTCGAATGAGCACAAACTTGTGAGCTTCTTGTCTCAGCCTCCCAGAGTGCTGGGATTAGAGGCACGCACTACCACACTTAATTCTTGCTTCTTTTTAACCTGATAATCTCTGGATGTCAGTCATTGTGAACATTACCTTTTTGGGTACTAGATATTTTTGTGCTCCTATAAATAAAGATTTTCATGCTTTGTTCTGGGATGCAGATATTTGGAAATATTTTGATCTTCCTGGGATTTGCATTTTTATTAATTGTTGGGAGGGTCTGAAGCAGTGCTTAGTCTAGGACTAATTATTTCCTACAACTGAGACAAAATCATCCCGAGTACTGCACCCAATGCCCTATGAATGTTTTTCCAGACTAAAAGGAATAGGTACCATTCCTAGCCCTGAGCACACATGAGGCATTGTTCTCAGATTTTTTCCGATAGGTTTTCCTTTGGCTTCAGGTAATTAACTCACCCACGAGTGCAGTGATCAATGCTCTGGGGAATACTCCACATACAGGTGGGAGACTCTGCAGTTCTGAGTTCTTGCTCGGCACAGTTCTTTCCTCTTTGGTATTCTGCTGCCTTGGTGTCCTGGAACTCCTAGCTGCATCTACCAACTCAGGGAGTACACTAGGCTCTAGCTGGGTACACCCTCCCTATGCATGGTGTGGGAACTCTCTCAAAATTGTACGTGAGAGCAACCATGGGGCTCACTTGTTTTCATATCTCAGGGAGCCACTAATCCTCAATGCCTGATGCTTAATTTCATGAAAATCATTATCTCATATATTTTTTTTGGTGGGTTTTTTTGTTTGTTTCAGGAAGAAAATTCTAGTATCTACTTTCTGTTATTTGTTTATTCAGGGTGAAAGTGACAAATGCCAGACTGCCTGTCACTCTGAGGGGAAAAGGGTAGGTGGCAGAGGGAGGTATAGGTCATTCCATAATAATCATCACTTAATTTCTTCAATTTTAGTACCACCAGTCTCCATCTCCATTCTACCTTTTATCATCTTTTTCCACATTGATTGATTCTAATTGACCCCTTCCTCCATATTCTGGAACAGCTTTTTAAATGTCAACTGATTAGATTTGAGGGAGGGGATTGAATTTGATTATTCTAGTGTTTAATACAAATTTTAATTCTATAAATTTGGAGACTTATAATCTTCCCATCCCTCCCCACCCCTTCTTTTATGACACTGGGGATTTGAACCCAGTGGTAGGGCACTTGCCTAGCATGCACAAGGCCCTGGGTTCAATCCCCAGTACCATGAGAAAAAGTTATTACATTGTAAGTATCTGCAGTTCTCCAACTCTAACCCTTCAAAGGAGGAAAGAGCCTTTCTGGCATAGGTAATCACCAAGTTGTCTGACTGTAGGGAAAGAACACTGGCAGAGCTGATGTGCAGAACAAACTGCCTCACACCTTAAAATACTAGAAGGGCAGAGTAAGGGGAAAGGGCCTTGACAGAAGACTTATACCTATGTTGTTTCCTCCTTATAACCCATGAACCCCCTAAAGTACTATGCTACAGTAAAGCTCCACATTGCCCTTCAAAGGTTTTATGGGAAGATTTTGCTCCTTGTGAATGTGACTTCATGGTGAGGGAGTCAGACAGCCTGTCTCACGTATGCCACATCAGTTGTGTAGTCTTCCAGCTCACCACTGTCCAATGCTGCTAGCTGCAGACTGGGGGTCAGGAGCACAGGCCCTGAAGCCAGACCCTCTGACTAACCTCAGCCTGCTAACTACTACCTCTATAACTCAGGGAAATTTATTTACCTCTCTGTAAATAAGAGATGTACAGAGCAACTGTTCAGAATTGAATCAGTCAATTCATACAAAGCGCTTAAAATAGTAACTGCCATATAGCAGGCATTCTATAGATGCTTAGTTCATACCATTAATTAAAAATAAATATAACCATTATTGTAAAAATGTTAACCTTCCACTCTGCCCCTGAAGCCTTTCTCCCTTAAGCTCCCTCTCTTCTGAATTAGAAAGCACTACTTCTTGTCACTGGTACCTCCCACAGCCAAGTTGATATTCTGCTACTTGTAGTCAGAATACTGTGGTTTGGGAACAAGAAAAGTGAAGTCCAAGTGGTAGCTTCCCTCCAGGACATGCTGCTCCACAGTGGTGTGCCATGGTCCGGTCCTGCTGGGCAAGCAACCCCCCAATTTTCTAGGGAAGCTGTTACTTCTCAGAAAGAGGGACAGGAATTAGCCCTGTGCCTTGCTTCCAAAGGTCCCACCTACTCTCTCCCTAAGAAGATGTCTTCATTTCTAGCATGGCAATGCTGCCCTTGCCAGGTTTTCTCTGCTGGGGCAGGTCAAGACCCTGAGGCTATGAGGCACACGAATGCCTGTGGTAGTGCTGCTAACCTACCAGGCCAACTTTCATAATCTGCTCTGGAGGATGCTTCTCTCATACAAACTCATTAATTCACTTAACAAATATCTACTGGTCATCTCCTAGATGTGAGGAACACTGAAATCACAGGCACTATACTTTTTTTTTTTTTAAATTTTCTAAAGATACTGTTCTTGCCATAAAAGCTAACTCTTTTATTTCCTCCAGTACATTGTATGTATACAAAATTCAGTGCTGTTCCTTTCATAGTTCTTCAATAGTTCTCAAATTATATGAATTTCTGAGGTACAAACAACAGCAACAACAAGGCTGTTTTTCTACTCAAGAAGCTTGCAGTTCAGACATCAGGGTGGGTGGGTAAGTGGAGCATGTGTGACAAGTGTGCAGAAATACGATGTTAAAAGTTGTAAGAGGACTGCCTCAAGTGCTAGAGGGGTGGAAAGAAGAACAGTTAACTTAGATGGGGAACATAGGGAGAAGAATAGAGAGGAGCTCTAAGAAGAGAAGACAAAAGCTAAGTTGGAAATAGCTTTAAACCAGCCTTAAACAGCAATTGTTTTTTATTTCAAGTTTTTAAACTTGCTCCTTGCCCTTGGGAGGTTAATACCAACTTTTCAGAGTGTTATAATAATGCATACTCACTTCATTGGCCCTTATAAAAACAGCCCAGTGGCAAACAAAAAACCAAACATACTGCTTTCACACATACCTCATATTTCATGGTAAAAAATCCATCTCCTCCAATGCCTTCAAGTGCGAAGGCCTGTACAATTGGCCATTTCTCTACCACAAACATATCAAATATCTGCAAGTGACCTAGAAGAATCAAATACAACAACACATATCAAATGCCATCCTGGATATTATAGTCTAAACCTGATCTAATGTGGTTAGACAGACATCATTTCTTAAAAGTTCACTAAGGTCTCATCCAGCAAAATAAATTTCAAACAGATAAAAGTTAGATATTGAAACTAGAAATAAAATAGGAAAGCCAATAAAAATTTAAACCATGAACAAGTTAGCTGCATAACTCAGATTTCTCTACAATATGTTTTCACATTTTGGTTTCCTAAGTAAGTATTTAAGTGAAAAATAGTAAATAGCAGTCTGTTACAACTGACTTGCATCATTTACTGAGTATAATTATTAACAGACTCAAAGTTGGCTCCTTTCCCTCAAGAAACACAGCCAACCAACTTTCTCAGAGGAAAACTACTAAATCAAAAATTTTCTTTTCTTGTAATAGCAGCTTTAATATGCAAGGCTTCCCCAATACTACTAAACTTATTTTCCTATGTTCCACACATAATTTTTGAACCTTACCATCAGCATATTTTAAAATGGCTATCCAAAGTATTATTTTTATTACCAAGAGGTCCTATATCTACATGCTATATAATAAGTGATACAATCCAAATGTCAACTGTGCTAAATTCCTTACCAATTTTTTTACCTGACCATGGGTGACTTGCTATTTTGCTGTGGAAACTCCATAGTTATGAACCCAAGCTTACATTAAGAAAATCCCCAAATGTTGCCCTGCTTGATCCTTTGCCTCAGTAAAAATGAGTCATGGGGTTTCCTAGTTGAATGCCTCCAATGAAAGAAGTTAGGACATTCGAATCACACACCATCCGTGCAAGGTTCTTAATTGCCTTGTTGTCAGATACTTGCCTTGGGAGCTGTAAGGAATGCCAATTTTACTACAGTCTCTAACCATATCCACAAAGCTGGAAATTTTAAACTCTTCTGCAGCTTCCTCATCTTCATACTAAAGAAAAAAATTGAAAGCAAAATAGGCTCTGATTAGACATCACATAAAGTTCCATATTTTCTCTGCACTGCACCAGGGTTGTCCTAAATGGCACGTAAAGAGGATTATACCCAAGGTACTGTTTTCAGAGCCAATTTATTAAATCTGCTGGTTAGAAATACTTGTCATTCTTTATCTCAGATCATATACAAAAATCAAGTCAAAATGGATCAACAAAACTAAACACAGGAGATCAAACTTGTCTTCCCAAATTCTCAACATGGAAAGTAAGGTTCTTGACCAACAGTGGACCACAACTTCCATGAAATCCTAAATCTTAAATCCCAGTCTGATTTCTAGTCAAACCCTTAAAAAGGGGGCCGGGGATTTAGCTTAGTGGTTCTGGCACCTGCCTCAAAAGCACAAGGACCAGAGTTCAATCCCCAGTACCAAAACAAACAAACAAACAAACAAACAAATAAATAATAAAAAAAATAACCCAAAAGGAAACAGAAACAGATACTAAGAAACCCAAAGCTAGGAATCTCAAGAAACTTGAAAAATTCTCTGAGTACAATCCCTAGGCATGTATCCAAGAGAGAATAGGCTAAGGCTGGTAAAGACAGCAGGGCAGGAAGGAAGGTTCACAAGCCTACTTCTAAGTCTTAATCTGAATCCCATACCCCAAGTCTCCTGCAGGCAAGCAATTTATCTGAAAGATGGCCTCCATAATGAAATGTGAAACTTTCTTCTTAAAGAACCATTTTCACGTACCCACATTCTGCAATTCGATTTTTTTTGGGGGGGACTTCTCATTATATACCAGCTTCCCTTAAAGAAATGCCTATTCTATCTTTTCTCCTCACCTCATTTTCAGTCATGCAGTGGAAATGTAGATTTCTCCAATGTGCCACATATGGTAAGAGATAGCGATAGTTGACAGGATTACAATATAGATGGACACTATCTGATTTAATCAACATAATTACATCTGTAAGAAAAACAAAGTGAAAAGGCAAGATTGTCAAAGGCTTTTCTTTTAGACATTTCCTGCCCAGAAAATTAGTGAAACTATTAAGGGCTAGACAGATAGCTCAATGGTAGAGCACTTGCTTAGCACATGCAAGGGACTGGATTCAGCTCATCCCTAGCACTGAAAACACATCCACACACACACACACACACACACACACACACATACACACACACACACACACACACACACACACACACATGCACACACAAATTAAAACCACTTTAAAAATAACATAACAATGCTGGGCATGGTGGTGAACGCGTGTAATCCCAGCACACTCGGGAGGCTGAGGCAGGAGGATCACTGTAAGTTTGAGACCAGACTGGACTACATAGTGAGTTCCAGGTCAGTCTCAACTACATAGTGAGACCCTGTCTCAATAAATAAATAAATGAATAAATGAATGAATGAATAAATAAATAAATAAAATAAAAATAACATAACAAAACTCTAAATGAAAATTATTTAATCAGGCAATGTGCTTCCAAGTGATTGTAGAACATTCAAGTGTTGACAGTGAGGATTTTCATGCAATGTTCCCACACCACGACCCTCTGCATATGGTAATGTCAGCACAAAACAGGTCAAAAGAACAAGTTTCATTTTCTGAAACACAGTGCTTTGCAAAGTTCAACAGAGTAAATCTGTGGTACCAAACACACCTGTGTACTCCATTGCCCAGATACTGTAAATACTAAATAGAAATTCCATGACCTAAAGCCAGTAGGATAGGAAAAGAGAGCATGAACTATGGCCAATGACTGTTCTTCCACAAATACCAGTGTCTAAAGCTCTGGGCCATTGGCTCATATGGCTTCAGGCAACTTTGGGCCTGCACACTGCATATCAGCTTTGGGAAGGGTTATTGTATATGGCAATGAACTCTGTACACAGGAAAGGCTGGGAGGAAGGAAGCAGAAGTGAGTGGAAATAGCTTCTGTAAATAGACCATAAACTTCCAGATTTAAAGAACATTGATGGATCAAGTAAACAATGCCAAGGGTGCAACTAAGCCTAAGTTAACAGAAGAGCAGGAGGTTAACAGAATGGGCCAGGGATATTTAAAGCAGTCTGAAAAATGGAAACACAAAATGAAAGCAGTCATACCAAGAGAAGAAAAGTAGAGCCTTTATTCCATGAGTTCTCTGAGATCAGAAGCACTAGGCCTCTTTCTAACAAGAGGAAGCTAAAAGGTGTCAGAGAAGGCAGCTGGAGGTGAGAAAGATAGATGCACAGCGGGGAGGAGCACCAGATGTAGAAGGTTTATAGCAATTCCAACACAGCAGTACAGTGTGACAGACCACACCTTATGAAAACACATTATGCACGTGTAAGGGACTAAGCCCAGTGAATACTAACCACAGCTAAGCACACAACTGGGTTGCCTCCTGAACAAAGCTGGCTACGATGTTAGCTTTTTAAGTGGCTTCGATCCATACCTCATTAGTCCAGGAGTTTCAGCAAACACAGGAGGAGCAGCTTTCTCACTGTTCACTCTTAAGAAAGTGCAAACTCAAAGGGTAGCTAAGGGTTAGAAGGAGGATGCCTCTCCCTTCTCAGCACTGGGCTTCCTGGCCACCAGCTCAAAAGCCCTGTTCTGAATCACTCACAGACGACCATTCTCAGGATCGCAATACACTCCGATGTCATCATTATAAACACAAGTTTAACAGCGTACACAGTCAGGAAAAAGAAGCAAATATAAGAGACTAAGATGGATATACAAAAGATTTTTAAAGTTAAAAACAAAACAAAACAAAACACTCATATTGGCTTTTCCCCTTGAGATGCAGAGGCATGTTTCTGATGATTTCAACTTTCTATTTGGATTTAAAGATGAATTTATTAATTTGGAAAAAATGTTCATTTACTAAGTACTTTATTATGGAATGTAACAAGATAAAGACAAAGATAAGGAAAAAAGCATATATCTGAAAATTTAAACTATTTCCTTATTTTCAGTAGTGTAATGTCCTTAGCAACTTTGGCTGCTGGGAAATGTGTAGCTAGTACAAGCACCAAGATTAATTCTTTCCAAAAGACCAGCTGCTGTACAGCATAAGGAAAGAACATTTTAATGAAAATCTGAAATCAAATCTGAATTGAAAAAAAAATTAATGGAAGGAGTAATTTCTATTGACTTGCTGTACTTCCTAATAAAAAGGAGAGCTTTGATCAATCTATAAAGATAAGACTATATATCTGCAAGACTATATAACCTTAAAGATAAGATAAAAACTATTAGGTTAAGACAAAAGAATTTTCACATACACTAACTCAGGGTTTCTCAACCTTGGTACCACTGACAGTATGGATCAGGTAATCAATTATTTGTCATTGAGGGTTGTTCTCCACCTTAAGAGATGTTCAGTAGGCTCAGTGGCCTCTATCCAGTAGATGCCAGTAGCACACCCTATCCCATTGTTTTATTAAAAAAATGACCTCAGACACTGAAAAACATCCTCCAGGGAACAACACAGGGCTAGCTGAGAAGAACTATACTCAAGCAAGATCATTTCACATCAGATTTCTGCTTTCATGCTCCTCCAGCTGCTTCACAAGAGCTATTTGTCTCTTGTCCAGTTTTCTTTGCCTATTCCTGTGCGTCCTGACCCATCTAGCACACAAGTCATGATGCTAAGTCTGTGATATCAGAGATAGCTCCTGGGCAACAGCCCACAGCAGCACCAACACAGGCAGAGTGTCTCAGAGCAGAGGAAGGGGGAATGTAAGCAGAAAGCTTGCATTGTAGTCACAGGCATCACCATGAATTAAGTCACATAGAAAACAACTCCCAAAGACAGCCAAGACAAAGAGCCTTTGTTCCACAACTCAAAGATCCACACGCAGTCTTCCTTGTAGGTACAGCCTTGCAGGCTCGTCCCTGCATCACAACTAAAAGTGCTTTCACTGGACACCAGCATAGAATCTGAACCTGCAGCATATAGAGGCAGTGAGCAAGTATGAGGAAAACCAATGCCTCACCCAGAAGAGACAAAGCTAAACACTGATGTTTACTTTCTTCCCCAAAGCTGATTTACCCAATGAATATATATTCTGAACACTACTTATTGCTAGTCTCTTATCCAGTGGGTGACCAATAGGAGCATATTAATATACGAACAACAACAAAAAGTGATTTTTCACTATTACAAGGCAAAAATTAGCCACATATGGGGGCACCCATATTCTGGGAGGCTTAGGCACAAGGACTGCAAGTTTGAGCCCACCATGGGTAACTTAGACACTTAGTGAGATCTTGTCTCTAAACAAACAAACAAACAAACAAATGGGGCTGGGGCTGTAGTTCGGTGTGAAGGTCCTCGGTTTAATCTACTGAGACTCTGGACTATTTTAAGTCTGATGTTATTCTACAAGAAGATCATGAAATAAAGATCCAAAGAAATAAACCATCCACTCTTTTATCACATAGTTTACCAATATACAGTAGACTTACCATCTAGAATTTCTTCAGAAAATCCTGTTTTCTCAAAATCACTGGTATTCTGATTGTATAAACCAAACAGAAGATAATTTGCTAGCTCTCTGCAGCCTTCATTGTACCTGCTATCAATTCCTGCAAGACAAACGTTTTGATTAGCTGCACTGTACGGTGACATACAAATGAGTCCCAGTAATTTGCCTCAAAACCCTGATGCTTAGTTGCATGTGCACACTTGCAATGCCAGGACTCAAGCTGGATCACTGAAGTTTGAGGCCAGCCTTCACTGCATGGAAAGACAATTTTAAAAGAACCAAGGCAACAACAAAAACAAAAATCCTGATGGCCAAAGGCAGCAGCTCAGACCGATTTTGTACTAAGGAACAAACTCTATAATAAAACCATCTCAGCCATCAGTTGTCCTTCTTAGATTCTAAAATCTATATGGTTGAGTAAATCAAACAGCACAGATTATTGAGGCCATTAATTTCTGAAAGCAATTATTATTTTTTTTTAGGGCCTCACTATGTATTTGAGACTGACCTGGAACTCACTAAGTAGCCCAGGCTGGTCTCGAACTCACAGTGATCCTCCTGCCTCAGCATCCCAAGTGCTGGGATTACAGGCGTGCGCCACCACGCCCAGCTTCTGAAAGCAATTCTTAAGGACAAGTCTTTACATTGGTTATTAATGATCTCAGAATACTTCCAGTTAGTCTAACAATAGGGATCTGAAACATATTCACCTTTCAAAGAGATTTTTACTAAAACATATGGGACCAAATAAAGGCAAAATTAAATTGGTTTGAAAAGAATTCAAAGTCATGAAGAAGACAAGTGGATGCAATCACAAACACACATCATTTCACAAATTATCAGGAGCAAGGCCCAATATTGTTCTGGATGCTTTCTCTGCAAATGGTCCTCCCAAAGCTTATACTCTAGTGAGGCTGGGTCAGAGACAAATAAAAAGGCAGTGAAACAGTACAGCCTTTACCACTGCTTCTCCAACCCTCGGGTATATACACTACCTTGTTCTGGGTGTCTGTGAAGTCCCGGAGATATAGTCCTAGGCAAGAAGCAAGTGTCAAGGGCAGGAAGTGATGTCTCTGAGAGACTAAGAGGAAGGGCTGTGGCAGAAGGAGCTCCAGGAAAGATAAGGGCACTCTCTCTCTCAGGGTATCTCTCTTATCCAACCTCATTCAAACAGCAGCAGCTATCAGGGGAATGAGAACTAAGGGAAGGATACTAACTCAAAGTTTATCATATAATGACACTATTGACAAGAATCCAAGTTGCTCCACTGGGTCCCACCTTGTAAAAACTACTCACCTAGGATGCAGAGGACCCCGTCAGGCTGAGACTTGCTGCTCTGGGTCAAGATGCTCTGAACCTGGCGGAGACGGCTGCAGCTGTAAAAAGAACAGAAAATAGTTACCTGACTATTAGAACAGCCCCACCAGAAGAGCAGCACCCTGTGTGAGTCCTACAACAAGGCATGAGGAAGAAGAATGACTTTGCTAGTCCTTGTCTGGTGCTAGTATCAGAACCTTACGATGAATTGGAAAGGGGTCCCTTCTCTTCTATTTTCTGGAAAAGGCTGTATATAATTAGCTCAAACTCCTTTTTTTTTTTTGAGACTAGATTTCGCTATGTAGCCTGGGCTGGCCTCCAATTTGAGGCAATCCTCCTGTCCTAGTCACCTGGCTTGAACTAGTAAGTAACATCTGGCTCGGCAAAGGATGTAGCGCCAAAGGTCCTCTTATGGTCAGTCACTTTAAAGCTGATGCCAAGAACTTCCAATGACTTCTCTTTATGTGTGGGGGGGTGGGGGGGTGTTAAATGGGGGCTGAATCTAGGCCTTTCATGCTGAATGACACCCCAGTCCTTTTTAAATTGAGACAGCATCCTGCCCAGGCTGGATTTGAACTTGCGATCCTCCTGTCTCAGTTTCCCAGAATGTTGGGATTATAGGCATGCATCTATGCTTCTCATGAGTCTCTGAAAAACAAAAACAAAAAAATGAGTAAAAAAAAAAAACCCCAAAAAAACCTGGGCTAAGGACCTAAACAAAATTCTAACTCATCTCCACAGCTAGACTGACAGAGCGCCAGCAGAGGATACCTGCTCCCATTTCTGTGTAGAATTACTGTCCCTTTAGCCTTAGGGATACCTCCTTGCTCCACCCAAAGTGTGAGGAGGGTTACTCCCAGACTATACAATTTCTAAGGATCCCTTTCTCTCCATTCCAATCCATTCTCCTTCCCAGCAACTCCAGAGAGAGTCACCCAATTTTCTACCCAAGATTGATCCTTCTACCTGGTCTTCCTTTCATCTCCAGGTCCAAGATCCAGTCCAAGATCCAATACTCCTTACATTTAATCCTTTCTTTATAGTCAATACAATCCCAGATTTACCACATCATTATTCAGATTCTCCACAAACCAACTATGCTAACTTTTTTTTGTACTGGGGATTGAACTCGGTACCTTGCGCTTGTGAGGCAGGTGGCTAAACCTCTGAGCCAAATCCCCGGCCGGCCCCCAACTATGCTAACTGTTCTCTCTATGACTGTGATACTTCATCCCCATCTCTATTTTTCCTACCACCTCTTTCTGAATCTGCTCTATTATACTGTCCCACACTCATCCAAATAACAATATTTCTAGCCAAAGAACAGTATTTCATTTCCCTAATTCCCTGAATTCCTTTTCCCCACTGGACTCTTTTTCAAGTTCCCATACCTGAACTTATTTGCTCAAAGAGTCATTATAAATGTTGTCCACTTTCAAAATATTACAAATGATAACAAAACTAGACAAAAGCATGAAAAGAAAAAAACTACCTACAAACCAATATCCACTATGAATATAAGTATAAATTCCGTAACAATATATTATCAAATAGATTTAAGCATACAGAAAGAATTATACATCGTAACCTAGTGGCATTTATCCCAGGAACACCTAAGCCCAGTTCATTATTCATAAATTAATCAATGTAATCCATCATCACATAACCATAAAACTCATGCAAGGGCCAGGGATGTAGCTCAGTGGCATCATGCCTGACTGGCACAAGGTCCTGAATTCAATCACTGGTACCAAAAAAAGAAAAGAAAAAAAAAAAGTTATAGGTCTGGGCTGGGGATTTAGCTCAGTGTTGCTTTGCCTGCCTCACAAGCACAAAGTCCTGAGTTCAACCCTGGTAACAGAAAAAAAGACAAAGAAAAAGAAAAAAACTCATGTAGAAAATTTATTTGACAAAATTCAATACCTATTCACAATCAAACACTCAGAAATCTAGGAACAGACTGCCTTCTTTAATTTTATTTTTTAAAAAAAATCTAAAAACATCTTCCAAGAAAAAGTTGGAGTTATATGTAATAGTGAAAGACAATGTTTTTCTTCTAAGACCAGGAACTAAAAAGGATGTCTGCTCTAATCACTCCTATAATTTAATACAATATTAGGAGTTTTACCCAACAGAATGTGATGAGAAGGAAATGAAAGACATACAAATTGGAAAGGAAGAAATAAAACTGTCCCTATTTATGGATGTGACCTGCTTGTAAATGACAGCCTATGTAGGGAATGTCAAGGAATCTGAAAGAAAATTGTAGGGCTGGGGATATAACTTAGTGGAAGAGCATTTGCATAGCATGTGTGAGTGTGGCCTTGGGTTCAATCTCTAGCACCATTAAAAAAAAAAAAGCACCATACCTGGAAATCAAAATTAAAAATATAATGCCATTCATAACCTCTCTAGCTGGGTGTGGCGGCACAGGCCTGTAATTTCAATACTCAGGAGGCTGAGGCAAGAAGACTGCTGTAAGCTCAAGGCTGGCCTGAACTACATAGTGAGACCCAATCTCAAAAAATTAAAAAAAAAACCCAACTCTCCAAACATGAAATTCAAACTTAATAAACTAATAAAGCATGCATGGAATGTACATGCTTAAAATTATAAAACATAGATGAAAGACATTTTAAAGATGGAGACATACCATATTTGTGGAACAGAAGGCCCAACATAGTACAAACATCAGTACCCTAATTGATAAATAAGTTTAACACAATTTATATCAAGATCCAAGTGTTTTTGCAGATGTAGAGATTATTCTAAAATTTATATGGAAAGGCAAAGGAAAGGAACTAAAATACTTAGTTGTTTGTTTTTTTAAGAAAAAGTGAATCACCCACACAAGAGAAAGCAATGAAGAAGGAATAGTGTTGTCTGAAAGACACATAGATCAATGGAACAGGACAGAGTAGCCAAGGGTGCTCCAGGGCCACAAGCGGTTAGCTCGAAGTACTCATATAGAAATGTAGTCAGAAAGAGACCCAGACAACTAGACACAAATAATTTTTAACAGAGATGCAAAAGCAATTCAATGGAGGAGGAATGTTTTCAATTATGGTGCTAGAACAAACGTGTATCATAGGCAAAAACATGAAACCCAGCCTTATTAAAAATTAACTCAAAATAGATCATAAATTTAAATCTAAAAAAGTAAAACTATCTGATTTTTAGAAGAATATAGGAGAAAGCATTTGGGATATTTGGTGAAAAGTTCTTCAGACTCAACAGCAAAAAGTATGATCTATTTTTAAAAAATGATAATTGAAACTTCATCTTTATTTATTTATTTTTGGTAGTAATGGCAAACGTAGAGACAACCGAGCTACATCTTCAGCTTGCTTCATTTATTTATTTAGAGACAAGGTCTCATTAAGTTGCCCAGTTTGGCCTTGAACTTGCAATCTTCACACTTCAGCCTAAGGACGGGAGATTACAAACACGTGCCACCAGGCCCACTAAATTCACCAAAATTTTAAACTTTTGCTCTATAAAACACATTGTTTTTATTTATTCATTTTTATTAGTATATGTTTGTGATACATAAAGAATACAGTCATCATGGGGAGCTGGTACACGTACCTATCACATCTTATTTCCCCTTCCCTCTCCTCCCTTCCTTCTCTATCCCCAGATTCCCTTTCCATCTGCAAAAGGCCTACCTCAGTGCTTCCTATAATCTGTCTTTAATTTTGTTCTTTTTTTTTGGTACCGGGGATCAAACTTGGGTCCTTGCACTTGCAAGGCAGGCAGTGGAAATACTGAGCTAAATCCCTGGCTAATTTTGCTCTTTAAATTATTTACACTTTATGCCAGGCATGGTAGCCCATGCCTGTAATCCCAGCACTCGGGAGGCTGAGGCAGGAGGATTGCTGTGAGTTTGATACCAGACTGGGCTACACAGTGAGTTCCAGGTCAGTCTCAACTATATAGTGAGACCCTGTCTCAAAAAACCAAAAAAATTAAAAAAAATTATTTATACTTTGGGTTTCTCATCTAAGAGAAGCTATAAACTGGATTTGGTGGCACACGCCTAAAATACCAGCACTCAGGAGGCTGAGGTAAGAGACCAATCTGAGTTACTGTTAAGAGTTCAAAGCCAGCTGAAACATATGGTGAGACCCTATCACAAAACAAAACAAAACATTTCATAAGGAATAGAAAGAAACATTGTCTTGACATTAGATTTGACAACAATTTTTTTGGATATCACAGGCAACAAAAGCAAAAATAGTCAAATTAGACTAACAAAATTTAAAACTTCTATACATTAAAGGACATAATCAATAGAGTGAAAAGGCAACAAATGAAATGGGAAAAAGTATTTGCAAGCAAATATCTGATAAGGGGTTATTATCTAGAATATATAATGAACTCCTATAAACAACAACAAAAATCTGATTAAAAAATGGGCTAAGGTAGGCTAGGGGGTGTGGCTCAGTGGTAAAGCATTTGCCTATCATGTTCAAGGCCCAAGGTTCAATCCCAGAACTGAAAACAAAATCGTAAGACTTGAACAGATATTTCTCCAAAAAAGACAAACAAATGGCTGATAAGCACATGAAAAAATGTTCACTATTACTTATCAACAGAAACGCAAATCAAATCCACAATGAAATATCATCTTATACTGTTCAGATGTGCTACTATAAAAAAACAGAAAATAGCAATATCAATGACCGGAAGAAACTGGAACTCCTGTACACTGCTAATGGGAATGTAAAATGGTACAGCTACTATGGAAAACAGTAATGGCCGCTCAAAAATTAAAAGGATCATCATATGATGTAGTAATTCTACTTCTGAGTGTAAACCTTAAAGCTTTGAAAGCAGGGGTTCAAAGTGCTATTTGTGTACTCATGTTCATAGCAGTGCTATTCACTACAGTAAAAAGGAAAAGAAAACCAAGCTGTTCTACAAAATGTAGAATATACAGAGAGAATATTAATCATCCCTAAAAAGGAAGGCGATACTGACACATGCTACAATATGGATGAACCTTGAGACACTATACTAAGTGAAGTAAACCAGCCACAAAAGGGCAAATTCGGTGC